TGACACATTCTACACCATATTCACTGACACCTTTCAACTGTTATCTTTCATTTGAATAAAGCCTTCAATAATTTCCCGGAAACACTTCCACAAAAAGCTATGTGATTTTGCATGGCCTCTTCCTTAAAACTTTCTGGACCCATGAGTATACTAGGGCTTCAAAAATTCATGAAAAATTCCATTTTTGTTTCATTCCACTTTTCCACCAAGTGCTTTATTGTCTCAGGGACACTATTCCTATTTTATGGAATAAATGCTCTTTGAGCTACCATGAATATTCCAGAGGGGGCGCTTGAAAACTTTAGAATCTCCGTGTGTAAGTTATCTGTTTTATCATTACATAGTTCTCCAGGCATGTTCACCTTTTAAAAATAGTGTTTTCTGTAACTTGATGTTATCCGTCTGTTTTTCCAACTGAGTCATGCAAAATGGTCAATGTGCTTGGCTGCTAACGGAAAGGTTGGCAGGCCACGTTCATCCTGGGGGCACTGGAAGGAAGGCCACACAGCTATTTCTATCAGCCGTATGGCACACAGTTCTACTCGGGAACATGAGCTTGCCATGATTCAGAAGCAGCATGATTGCAGTTGATTTTCAGATCATTGGTTTTTATTTTTTAGGGTTTGATGCATGTTTGGGGGGGGGGGGCTAATCTGGTTTGGGTTAACTAGACTGTGCATTCATTGCTGGCAGTAGCCTATGTAGTGGGATCTAGCAAGTGCCCAGTAGACATTTATTAAATGAATCATTCATAAACAAACAATAACCACATGAATGAGAGTCTATCGATGAGAGTTCCCTCAGTGTGTGGTGGCCGGGGTGACGAACAGCGTGGAAAGTGTAAAACCCTTCGAAGAAGCAATAGTGCTCAGGAACCTTGGAATCAGATCATTGAGAATGAAACCAGGGATGGTAAGTCAGATAAACAGTAAATACGTCTAGTAAAAATAAAACCAAGTAAAAATTCTCTACCTGCATCAATTAATTGTAGTGAATAATAATGTGTGTGTCTTTCCATATACACATATCGATACATGTGTACACTATGAAGGGGCTTCAAAAAATCTATAGAAAAAGAGAATGGAAAGATGATAAATTTTTTCCACAGACTTTTCGAAGCCTCCTTGTGTATATATAAAGACACAACAGGAAATGTCGAGGAAGAAAAGTAAAATGTATGATACGACAGATGGCTGAATTTATTTTATGTGTCACTAATAATTTTGTAAAAGTGCTTCTGACTTCTGGGCAACATTTCTCATTATAAAAAAAAAGAATATTTCACAATAAACTTTGGCAGAGAAAAATGTATTTTGTATGAGATGACTTCTCACATTTCCAAGCTGATATAAATTTACGTGCAAGAAAATGAGGGAAAAAGTGATTGATTTTCATATCTTCATAAAATCAACATGTGGTTTAAATTTGCTGTTTTATGCCTGTTTTACAATACTGCTTTCACAGCTTCCCAAAAACTTTTACACGAAGTGTAAATTTAAAAGTATAGGCTTTTAAATTTGGCAAAGTTATTTTAATTAAAAATAAACTTGTGGGGTGGGAAGGACAGTCGAGAAATGATGATTATTAAAAAGGTGCCAGATTCTATATTTATAAATAATGTCAAAAGTTATTAAAAAGTTTTATTTAATCACCTGTCTAAAATATAATTATTTAAATTAAAAATAGAGAGATTAGCAATACTGAAAGACACCCAAAGTTTCCCACAGTACGGTTAACCTAATTTTTAAAAACGTATCTTAGAAAAACTAAAGCCAGTTTCTTTTGTTGTTTTGCTCCATTGAATTAATGGGCCAGTCAGGGGTGAATACATTGATTTCTCTGCCAGTAACAATACAGCTCTCAGGTAAAACTCTTGCCTTCCAAATGAGAAGCACACGTTCAAGTTCTTGTTAAGGCAGCTCATTTGCTGGCTCCACTTGTTGGTGGAGGTGTGTGCTGCTGTGAAGTTGAATAGGCTTCAGTGGAGCTTCCGGATCAAGACCAACTAGGAAGAAAGTCCTGTCTATCTATTTCCAAAAATCAGCCTGTGGGTCACGAAGGTCTCATGCTCACAGGAATATGGGACTCTGAAACCAATCGGGAGGATGTAGCACCAGGCACATAGGGTCAGGATGAGTCTTAGGCTGAGTCCAGAGCACTGGCAACAACCACAATTACAACAGTGAACTTTCTTGGAAACATCACCTGTAACGCAGCACTTGGTCTGGAACTGACTGACTTACAGTGACGAATCGGCCCGTGGTATGATCTCCCAAAGAGGAATGGATTCTAAAACTATGAGACAAGAGGCCTTCAAATGATTTGTCTTGTGATCTAAGCAAATAACTTCCCCTTTATTTTCCTGTCCAAGTTTTATTTGTAACTCAAGGGAATTAGACTAGCTCTGATAAAACAAATAGACTCCTTTGCTTTAAGCAACTTTTAAAATCTACTACTCTGATTGTTGGGCATGCTAGATGGATACATTAGGCTCAGTGGGAAAGCATGCTTTGCTTGATTAGCAAATCTGTGCTAGATGATCATCAGATCAAACATCTAGACCATAAGAAGCACAAGATGAGTTTTCCATCTATAAGATTAGAAATGTGTAATGGGTAATCTCCTATGTTTCTTAAAATTAGAGTATTCTATGTTTCTAAGGAGAAACACTTTTCAAAAATGGGTTCTTTAGACATTGGGAGGATAACGCTGATAAGTATGGATGATCTTGGCCTCTGTGAAGTTTAGTTTGGATTCCAAAGCTAGGGTCTTCCTAGGACACGTTGCTGTCCTCCTTACTCATCCCACCGTGGACCATTTAGCACCACAAAGGTAAAGGGAGTTGGTGCCATCTGGAGCTGCCCTTCCACCTGGAGACCCAACGAAGGTGAAAACAAACCAACAAACAGACATACCAATTGCGGACATCTAATCTTCAGAAATATCTTCTTACTTCTCTGGAGAGTGTTATTGAACCAGTTTCCAGAAACAAAGGAAGGCAATATCCAACGCAATATATCGCTCTATTGTTTCCCTATATCCTAAATAAGGCACATTTCATTTGCAGGGTATCTATTATGCTTCCTCCCCTCAAAGTCAATGTACATAGAACAGAACAAGATGATAGAAATTCACCAGACCCTCATAATACAGATTTAAGGGCTGAGGAGAAAGCCCGTTTTTCAGCTCAAATACTCCATATTGTCAGGAATGCAGAACTAAATCTAAAATGAATATGAGAAAAACACTGCCAAGGTGTAAAGTCCAAAGAAGCTTCATGAAAGAAAAGAAAGCTACACAACATTCAAAACTATCGACCACAGAACCATAAAGGTTTGTAGATTGCATGCCCTCAGGAGGAAGTCTTTGCACCTGAGCATTTCAGCAACTGGATGTGCTGCAAACCTAATGCAAATCAAACCCACATTGGGAAGCCATCTTATCACTAGGACAGTAATAAAATATTTATAAGAAAGTAAAAAGTGTGATAAGGGTGTGCAAGAAAAGTGGATCTTAAGTAAGGCTGGTGGGACTGTAAAATGCTGCAGCCAGAGTGAAACAGGTGGAGGTGGTTTTTCATAAAGATGAGCAAGGAATTAATATACAACTCATCAATTTCACTCCTAGGTATCAATTTTTAAAAAGAGAAAACAAGTACTCAAATACTTTTGTACATATGTTTATAGTAATACTATTCAAAGTAGTCAAGTGGTTAAAAAAAACCTGGACATGTTCAACAATGGATACGTTTGAAATAAATGCAGGGCATCCACACAACAGAATATTATTCAATCATTAAAATGTATTTTGATTAGCAAAACCATGAGTGAACCTCAAAAACATTATGCTAAATGCAAGAAGCCAGATGTAAAAGACATATTGAATAATTCTCTTTAGATACATTCATCAGAATAGGTAACTTCATAGGGAGGGAAACAGATTGGTGGTTGTCAGGTGTTGGGAGAAGGGAATGAAAAGTGATTGCTTTATGGGTATTGGGACTCTTTTGTGGTTATGAAAATGTTTTGAGTTTGATGCAGGTGATGGAAGGCCCAACATGGAAATGTGCTAAATGTAACCGAGTGATGATGCAAATTTCAAAATAGTTTACTTTATGTTACATGAATTTTCTTTTCTCTTTTTTTTTCTTCAGGGGAGAGCGCGAACACAGTCCCTCACTGCCACAAATTATACAGTCGAGTTTCCCACCTTTGGGGAAATCGCAGGGGTCAGCACATCTGGAGTGCAATGGATAAGTCTCGCCCTGGAAAAACCACCTTCGTGATCATGGCATCTGCCCTGCCCAGTAAGTATGTTACATGAATTTTCATTGAATTAAAAGAAAAACATATATAGCAGATTTCCCAAGACTTTCTCGATGAAGTGACACATAAATAATGCAGGGATCATACCAAATGAGTGAAAGAAATTGGCCCACTGGCCATATTTAGGATAATATAAGAATCTCAATGAATAATAATGATAATAGCTTATAAATCACCTGAGGGAAAAGATCCATTAGGCTTTACTAATACTAAGAAAACAAGGAAACAGGAAAGGTATTTCACCTAATAGGATGCCAACTTGTCAATGCAATAGGAATTATATCAAATGAACTAGTCATTTTGCAACATCATCATAATAGTAATTCCAGCAAGAATCATCAGCAGATGCTGAAATTATTTGATGAGATGCTAAAATTATTTGATACAAGCTGATGAGAAACAGAATATTTTATACCAAGTAGATTACTTATTACAAATTAAAAAAGCTAACTTTGCAGTAGAGACACATGGCAGACACAAGACTAGACTTTGCTGGTGTGCTAGCGTTAGCGGCTCTCATTCAGGACCATTGAATCCACTCTGATTCATAGTGACCTTATAGGACAGAGGGGAATGGGACCTATGGGTCTCCAAGACCGGAACTCTTTACAGCCCTAGGAAGCTGCATCTTTCTCCTGAAGACTTAGGTGTTTTCACCTTTAAAATCCATAACCTGAATCTATTTATAAGGACACATGAGCAAAGTACAAAATAAAGGAGATTCTCAAGCTCAAAAATTGAATATTTCTATAGTTAAGGAATCTAAAGAGATATTAGAACTAACTGAAATATTTGATCCTATAGTCTAGCCTTACAACTAACAAAAGAATACACAACTCACTGCCATTGAGTCAATTCTGACTCTGCCTCTACAGCAGAGTAGGACGGCCCGGAGGATTTCCTAGGCTGTAGACATGGAACCAGAAAGCTTTCTCTTCCTCCCTCCCAGCATCTGTTGAATTTGAATCGCAAATCTTGCAGCTAACACTCCAGCTCATTACCTTCTTTGCCACCAGGGCTCCTCATTGTATCCTTAGTTAGGTTAAAAAGAACATGGACCAAGTAGGAGATTTGAATATGGATTTATATTGATAATAGCATTTTACTGATGCTAAATATCCTGAATTTTATTGCTGTGCTGTGGTTATCCACCACTTCTCTGTGACTGCTTCATATTGTGATGGTTTCCATGCTGTTGTGATGCTGTAAACTACCCACAAGAGACGAAGAGAAAGAAGAAATCAACAAAGAAAACAAAATGGATGACACAAGCACTGTGAAATTGGTTCTTGATGGGGAATAGCTAATAGAAGAAACAGTCAAGTAAAGGCGCTGAACTGAAGATTTCAAAGCCCAGTCAAGACGAAAAGAAAGCATTATAATGAATATAATGTTCATTAACCTGCTGTTAGAAAACCAAAAGGGATCAACACTCTGGGCATGGCTCACACTCAAAGAACGGAAGAAAAAGACCGCAAGCCTTTAGATATGATTTGGAAGGATTTTACAGGCAAAATATTGAAAGGACAGACAACATTAAAAGAAACTTTAAGAAATATAGGGAATCGGTGTAACAGAAAGAATTGGTCAATATTCCACTATTTCAAAAGACAGCATAAGATCAAATACACATGACACTGAAGAAAAAAGTCTAAGCTGCACTGAAGATATTAGTCAAAAACAAGCCTCCAGGAATTGATTGAGATGGTTCAAAAAACAAATGTACTTTTAGACATATTCACTCAGCTATATGCCAAGAGATTTTGGAAGACAGCCAACTGACCTGGCCAACTGATTGGAAAAGTTCCATGCTTGTGGCTATTCCAAAGAAAGGTGATGCAACACAATGTGGAAATTATTGGACAATCTGAAATTATTAAACAATGCCACCACTTGTCTGTCAGGTTGTCATACTGTGGTGGCCTGTATGTTGCTATGGCGCTGGAAGTTACGTCACTGGTATTTCAGCAGAGAGTCCAGACTAAGATCAGACAAGGAAGAAGGACGAGGCTCCCCACCTTCAAATTCTCAGATACTGAAGGTCTCCTGAATGGAAGCAGACCACTGTCAGATACTGAAGGTCTGACAAATGGAAGCAGAACTTCATTGGAGATAGTGCCAGGGGGCAGACCCCTCAGGTCAGAGGGAATGCAAAATGTGGCTAAGCAGGAGGTAATTTTTCACACTGGAGTCAGCAGTGTTGACTTGACTAGGGTAAAGCCTGGGGAACGGGGCCTTTGAAATCTTCATTTGCTCATAGGGCATGGCTCAAAGTAAGGAGAAATAGCTGCAAAAGTCTGCTAGTGACCAGAACTGGAAATGTGCAAAGTATGCATCTAAAAAACTGGAATTCATCAGCAATGAAACGGAATAAATAAAGATTAATATCCTTGGCATTAGGAGACTAGGCGGTAATGAGGTCATATTGACCAGTTAGAATCAGAAATCATATGATTTACTATGCTGGGAATAACACAATCAAGAGGAATGACATGCCATTCATCATCAAAAAGGACACTGCAAGATCAATTATGAGATACAAAGCAGTCTGGGATAGGAGGATATCGGTCTCCCTTTAAGGAAATCCAATCAATACATTTTTTTATAAAATGGATGCACCAACCAAAAAGCTCATGATGAATAAATTGAATAATTCTATCACTGACCATTGAGAAACTGATCAAACACACAACTAAGAGGCATTGATAATTATTGACAATTGGAATGCAGAAAATGGAAACAAAGAGGAACGAACAGTTAAAATACATGGATTTGGTGATAGAAACGAAGCTGGGGATTGCATGATGGAATTGTATACTACTAATGACTTGTTCATAGCAAATACCTGTTTTCAGCAATCCAAAAGATGACTATAACCATGGACTTGACCAGGTGGAAGTCACAGAAATCAAATTAACTACATCTGTGGGAAGAGACAATACCAGCAGGTAAAAACTAAGGCAGAGGCTGACTATGGAAAAGACTATCAATTGCTCATATGTAAGTTCGGGAAAAAGCTGAAGAAAATTAAAACAATCCGCTAGTACCAAAACACAACCTTGAGTCTATCCCACCTGAATTTGGAGAACATCTCAAGAACAGATTTGTCGTACTGAACACTAATGACAGAAGACTTGAGCTGTGGGAAGGCACCAAGACCATCATTCATGAAGAAAGCAAAAGTCATTAAAAAGACCGGAAATGAAGAAGAGATCTAAGTGGATGTCAGACAGATTGAAACGAGCTTAATGGTAGAGTGGCTAAAGCAAATGGAAGAATGAAGTAAACACACTGAAAATTTCAAAGGGCAGCTCAAGAAGATAAAACCAAATTATTATCAAGAAATGTGCAAAGATCTAGAATTAGAAAACGAAAAGGAAGAACATGATTAACAGACCTTAAAAAAAAGTATACCTCTAGAAAAAAATTCAAGCCTTGATTGAATTTAGCCACCTTGAAAGAGTCTAAGGGGAAAATACTAAATGATGTAGGAAGCATCCAGAAAAGATGGAAAGAATACCTAGAATCACTGTATCAAAAAGAACTAGTTGACAATGCACCATTTCAGGAGGTAGAAAATGAACAATTACCAAGGGCGCTAAAGGAAGAAGTTCAAGCTGTACTGAAAGCATTAACCAAAAGCAAGGCTCCAGGAATTTATGTAATATTCATTGAAATGTTTCAACAAGTTGATGAAGCACAGGAAGTAGTCACTTTTTTTAGTAGGAAATTTGGAAAACACTTATTTGGCCAACTTCCTGGAAGACATCCATATCTGTGTCCATTCCAAAGAAAGGTGACCCAACAGAATGTTTAAACTATAGAACAATAACATTGGTATAGAATGCAAGTAACATTTTGCTTAACATCTTCTCACAACAGTTACAGTGTTATGTAGGACTGGGGACTGCAAGAAGTTTAGGCTGCATTCAGAAGAGGACATGAAGCAAGGAATTTCGTAGCTGATGCCAGATGGATCTTGGTTCAAAGCACAGAACACTGGATAGATGTTTACATGTGCTTCATTAACTATGCAAATGCATTCCACTGTGTGGACTATAATAAACGGTGGGTAACCTTGAGAGGAATGGGAATTCCTGAACACTCCATTGTGCTCATTCAGAACTTAAACGTGGATCAAGGGGCAGTTATGCAAACAGAATATGCATGGCTTTAAAATCTGGAAAGTTGTGTGTCAGGGTTGTGTCCTCGCACCACACTTGTTCAATCAGTATGCTGAGCAAATCACCAGAGAAGCTGGATTATATGAAGAAGAATGTGGCATCAGGGTTGGAGGAAGGTTTGTTAACAACCTGCAATGATGACATACCTTGCTTGTTGAAAGTGAGGAGGGCTTGAAGCACGTGCTGATGAAGATCAAGCACTGCAGCTTTCAGTATAAAGACTCAATGTAAAGACTCAATGTAAAGAAGAAATAAAATCTCACAACGGGTCCAAAACGGGTCCAAAACGGGTCCAAAAGCATGAAAAAGGTAAAAAAAAGTTTGAAGATGTCAAGGATTTGGTCGGCTTGGCTCCAAAATCAATGCTCCTGGAAGTAGCAGAGATCAAAAGATGTGTTGCCTTGGGTAAATCTGCTGCAGGAGACCTCTTTAGAGTGTTGAAAAGCAGGGATGTTACTTTGAGGACTAAGATGCTCTGACACAAGCCATGGTATTTTCAGTTGCCTCATATGCACGCGAATGTTGGACTTCGCATAAGAAAGACCAAAGAAGAAGAATTGAGGCATTTGAATTGTGGTGCTGGAGAATACTAAGGAAAGTACCCTGGAATGCTAAAATTACAAACCTTTCTGTCTTGGAAGAAGTACTGCCAGAATGCTCCTAAGAGGCCATGATGGCAAACGTCATCTCACATACTTTGGTCCTGTTGTCCGGAGAGACCAGTGCCTGGAGAAGGACATCATGTGG